AGTATATTTCAAAATGGACAAAACCACTGAGAATGGGGGATATAACGTTTTGACAGAAAGAATTATTCTAACTTGATCGAGAGAACTGGAAAAAGAACAGTTGAAAAAAGCAGTGAAATTCATAGGCTGAAGTTCCACAAACAAATGTTTCTACAGCAGCTCACTGACCTCTTATTCCCCCTCATTTCTAATTACTGCCACTTTCCCTACTCCTCATTAGCACTAATGCACCAACTCTTTTTTTTGCTTGCACAAAACAGTACAAGTAGATGAGTTGAATTTCAAAAGAATTAAAATTACCTATCAGAAATCATGTTTCTTTTTAATTGGATCAATTAAACATTGATTAAACAACTACACTGTTAATTTCACTGAAAATGCACCTGAAATGAGGTGGAATATCTCCATATCTTAAATACTTCTGCTTGCTGCCTTCTACATTTCACAGTCAGTCAGAATATTAGTGGAGGCATAAGCAGCAAAGAACAAAAATATGGCACTCAAATATATTCTGAAAACCTTTTGCTTTTCTTGCAGGAAGTTGAAAGCTCAGAAAACTTTCAAAGACACAGAAAAAAACTGAAGAAAACCTGGTTTAATGTTTCTTTTTATTTCTATACTACCCCTCCTCTTTTAGCATTATGTTAAAAAAAAGTTATGAAACGTTTATTTTTGCCATCTGTGGTTGCATGCATAATTACCACAGAAACAGACTCAAATATGCAATAATGTAGGAGTATGACTTTTATCCTGCATAAGTCATCGGCAAAAGTTCTTGTAAAAAGACTCTATAGATCAGTAGCTGAGCAACTGAGGATTATGTATTTTCTTTACATGCTGTCCTTTTTTAGCATATTTGAAAAACACATTAGTTAGACAGCTAAAAAAGGAACAAGTGATGAAAGTGGTCCATTTAATTTACATGTGAGGAAATCAGAGATTATAAAGCGAGAAAAAAAGCTGGGCAAAACCTAATGTTTTATATGAACATTAAAATTATTCTAGAAACCATACACTTACTACATTTGGGCAGGTTTCAAGAGAACTAGAGTGGTTGTGACCCCTAAATAAGTTACAGCTACTTCTGTTTAAACTCTTTTTAGCTGTAAACAAATTTATGAAACCAGTTTATTATCACTAAATAAAAGCTTGGGGAGGCATTTTTGAAATATAAATAAATTCATGTTTCTTCACAAATTAAACTAGCAGATTTCCCTTTATACAGCCTTTCATTTTCCAATCTGTTAAAAAGGTCTCGGACTTCTAGAGGGAATTTCTGTCACTTAAAATACTTATATTTTCAGTCTTGCATAAGAAACTCTTTTCATCCTTTCTTTGCTAATGTTAAGAAACTACAGAACATTGAAATATGCTTTCCTTTTTCAGATGATTTCTCCTATCAAGTTTCCTAAATTTAACTAGATGATATACCAGTCTTGTTAGAATGAGGGCATTTTTCACAATAAATTTTTAGAAGAAATAATGTAAACCTGAAAAATTGTACTCCTGTTATTATAAATAATTCCTCTGATTCCTACCAATTCATTTCCTTTCTTCTGTTTGTTTATCTTAGAGTAAACAGCTGTGAGACGCTGTGTCAAACCTTTTTTTCCTCTTTATTTTTCACTTCTGTCAGCAGGGCTTTTTGTTAGTAAGGACAGTGAGGAACACAGTTGCTGTAATGTTGACAGTAGCTACCTAGCTGACTTCCCACCACTTAAAATATTTTCAACATTGACTAAGTTTAAATAACTCTCCTCACACTTTTAAATATACACCAGTGAAAAAGCCTTATTTTAGAAATACACATTCAAGTCAGCCAAAGCAAAAGTGACAACACTGTTTTAAACAAATGTCGAATGGGGGAGACATTGATTTCTCAGAGCAACCCTGCCAGCAGCACGTGCTGGGACTGAGATACTCTGGGCAGAACAGACCGGCTAATGGCTGGCATGGTGGGTGACAGAAGAGCAGCAGATGTTGTTTATCTTGACTTTTGCAAGGTTTTTGACACTGTCTCCCATAAAATCCCCACAGACAAACAGAAATGGACAGTGAGATGGGCTGAAATCTGGCTGAACTGTTGGGCTCAAAGGGTTGCAATCAACATGAAGTCCAGCTAGAGAAAAGAGTACAGAACTATGCTGCTGGTGGACCCCAGGGATCAGCACTAGGGCCAGTACCTTTTAACCACTTTACTAATGACCACTTCACAGTGCACTCTCAGCAAGTTTCCTGATGACACCAAATGGAAGGAGTGGTTGATGCACCAGCTGGTTGCACTGGCATTCAGATGGACCTTGAAAAGCCTAAGGCATAAACCAAAAGGAATACTATGAAGTTCAACAAAGGAAAACACAAAGTCCTGCACCTAGGGAGGCATAACCCCAAGCACCAGAACAGAATGAGGGATGATCAGCTGGGAAGTGGTTTTGCAAAAGAAACACCTGGGGGTCCTGGTGGGCTCCAAATAGATCATGAGCCAGCAGCGTACCGTTGAAGTAAGGAAGGCCAGCAGCATCTTGTGGTGCATTAGGAAAAAATGTTGCCAGTAGGTCAAGGGAGATGATCCTTCCCCTCCACTCAGCACTGCTGAGACACGTCTGGAGGGCTATGTCCACTCATGGCCTCCCCAGTACAAGCAAAACATAAGCATCCTATAAAGCAGTCCAGTGTAGGACTGCCAAGACGATTAAGGGATTGGAGCATCTGACGTAGTGAGACTGAAAGCACTGGGACTCTAGCCTGGAAAAGGCTCCAGGAGATCTTCCAGGAGATCTTATCAATGTGTAGAAATACCTGAGGTGGAAAGGGTAAACAACATTTCTCAGTGGTACCCAGCAACACGGCAAAATGCAACGGGCACAAACTAAAACAGATTAAATTCTATCTGAACAAAAGAAAGCACTTTTTTACTCTATGGTTGTTCAAGCACTGGAAACAGCTGTCCAAGCAGCAAGCTGCTTTAGTTGATCCTGCTTTGAGCAGCGGGGGTGTTGGACTAGACAATCTCCAGACATCCTTTCCAACCCCAGGTATCCTATGGTTTTTTTGTGGAAGAGACTAAAGGAGGGAAACTACATCTGAGTAATGTGGACTATGGATTTAATATCAGTTGTTTTCTATGCAAACACCAATAAAACAGTTCCCTTGTACATATGTTGCTTGTGTCTGATTGCATTATATGAAATCAAGTTGTTTATCTGACTTAGGAAAAGTCTCATTGTGCAGATACCACAAAACAAGCCCTTTTCTCTCCCATGCGTTTCCTGATGGCCAAGCCTGTAGATCTAACCAGTATGAGAACTACCTAACATAGAGAATAAGACAATACATTTGCTTTCACCAGTCAAATAAATCACCTTATTCTCTATTGCAATGTCCATTTGTATCAGCAAACTTCCGCCACTTTAATGGATTTCTTTGCCTCTCATCCAGGCAGTATTCAAGCAGTAAAGCTCGTTAAACCAAAACAGGGCAATGGGAAATCATCTTTCTCCTTTGATAAAGCCTATTCTCTCACATCAAAGTATTGACAGTTTTGTTTCACCACTGCAGGAAAAATGAGAGGAACCAAGAGAACGTCACAGAGAAAAGCTAGAACATCTCATTCATGAAGAGCAGGCACCTGTGCACTGACCCAATTAGGCATTCAAACACTTGTCACTTTGGAGCTGGCTGGTTGTCACTCATCCAAGCAGCCCCAGGGGATGTATTGTATGGTGGCATTCCCTGACAGAAGAACAGGAGCTATGGAGGCAATGAAGGCACAGTGATAGGGTGCCAGGATCCTGGTGAGTGAGAGCAGCCAGTAGCAAAGCCAAAGAACTTCAGAGCTTCCTTAACTTGATTACCATCCAAAAACCCTTTCAGAGTCTTCAATGGTCATCTTTTTTTCAGAGCAATCTAGTTTAAAAAGCTTACAGTAACAGTCCTCTTTCTTCAAAGATATATTTAACTCTTAAGTGACTAACACAAGAACCGTTTCAGAAGAGATAAAAACCAACCCAACAAAATATCTGCATTTCAGGGAGAGGATGCACTAAATATTACTTTTAGTAACACTGTCAGTATTTAATTCAGAAGTCAAAACATTTCAGTGACCATCTCCTTCCTTCTCTGTTTTGAACATATTACTGATGCTTTCAGATGCTCTGTCTGCTAGACCACAAAAATGAGGGATAAAACACTCTGCAGCCACCCACGCCTACACACTACAAAAGACAGAAAAGGTCTGTTCTAGTAAACTACACACAATACTGTATTCAAGACCCCCAAATCATATTTGTAGTAAAAAAAAAAACAACCAGATACTAAAATACAGATGACTATTCAGCAGCTACTACTCACTTCAAGTAAAGCTATCTCTGTTCTTACACTGAAAGAATTATGCAATTCAAACACAAGAGCAGGGAGGGGTTTGTAGGAGGATTGGGGTGGGGAGGGAAACAAAAGCTTACTTCAGAACTTCCAAAATGGGCATTTTAACCTTAGGACCTAAACCATGACAACAAAGACTTCAGAATGTCCCCATCACTAAATCTGTAATCTATGCTAGAAGAAAAAACTTCCAATTTTTTTGTACAATATTTCACATTCCTTCCAAAGCCATTTTTCCAGACTCACTTTTTTACTAGTTGACTTGTCCTGACACCTGTTCTCTCCAGTAAGGAACATCAGTCATGAGTAAGTCTACTTTCAATTATGTGAAGCTATGAAATACTTTTAGCTGCTTTTCTAATTAACATATTTGATATGTGCCCTTCAGTTAAAAGCTGAGTTGAAATTAAAAAATTATCTGAATCACAGACTGTTAACTCAAACAAACATGGAAATGCATGTAAAAGCAGAACATGTTATATGACTACTCTGGATAGTAATTAACAGAAACTAAATTGAAAGATAGAAATGTAACAGATAGAAACTTAATGTCAGTAGTTTGGGGTTTTTTTTCCCAGATAGCATGGGAAAATAAAATTTTGAGGGAAAAATTACCTTACCTTTGTAGAAATAACTTCTGAGCAAGATGGTCTATCCTTTTTCTTTTCCTTCTTTCTTATCCCCTGTATGACAGGTCTTTATGTCACTGCCTGAAAAAATAATATAGAACCTGAAATATCCATAGAGGCCAATAATTCACTGCTAAATTACAACAAATACTTCATATATGTCTTGATAAAGCTGCAATATTAAATACAGTTAAGTCAAGTGGAATAGTAGAATATATATGTTAGGTCAAAGAAAAAATAAGAAGCATTAAAAACAAAAGCAGCTCCCTAGGTTTCAAAATCATGTTCTGTGTTTAGGTCTCCAAAATAGCCAGTTACATTAGATCAAACCGGAGCACCCATACAGTTATCCAGGTTCACTGTACCATCAGTGATAAACAGTCAGTGCTCCACAAAGCTTGAGCAGGCCAATAGAGAAGCCTAACCACATCTTTTCAATGTCCAGTAACCCAACTTAAGGCACACTGGGTACCTCTGTCTCCTCAGGACTAAACACTTCAGTGCTCTTTGGGATATACAGATGCCAAAGCTTCTAAAGACATCTACTGGAAGAGGTCATAGCAGCTGACAGCAAACCTCTACTGCAGGAAAAGCCTTTGGTCACAGAACTTGTCCGGAAAGAGAGAGATGTTACTTACAGGCAACTTGTCATCTGTCTGATCTCCTACTTTCTAGGAGAATATCTTATATTCTAGTGAAAGGATGGGACTGACAAACACCCCCTAATTTAAAAGCACAAGACAAAGAAAGAGGAAACAGCAGGAGAGATTTGTTTTGAATTCAGCTGCTCCTTTCCTTCATTTATTCACAAGAATTGTGCACCCAATTCCTCTTGTCCCTTACTTTTTGTTACTTTAACCTATTTTAAACACATTCAGCATTTGGCTGAGAAGAATGTTGCTTATCTTTCCATGGCAGTAATGCCTAGGTGGAGTTGAACTTTCAAGTGAGCAAGGTTCAAGTAGGATCAGGAATTTTGTAAGTGAACTTCAAAAATTTTCTAACTGAGAATTTCCCTTACAGTCTTTTAATTTTACAGCACATTTTGCTCACCTGCAAACTCAGCAATGCTTGCCATAATATGCAGTCCTTATTTCAGTGAACTGGTGCTGAACTGAAGCCAACAACAACAAATTAGCATCACTGCAGCACCTGTTATTGTGTGTACTGTACATAAAAGTCTATACATTTTACCTGTAGGATAGTAATTAAAGTTCCTTGTTTACTCTTAACTGCAGATTGGCACTGTTTTGTAAGGTAAACCAGGAGAAACTGCAATATCTCAGCTTACAGCAGTGATACAGGAAGATCAGTTTAATTTCCCATCAAATTGATAATTCAATCATACAATTTCTTTTTGTATACTTTTAAAAGCCTTTTACTGTTAATTTGGTCTGCCAGTAGGCAAAACCTTAACTGTTGACTAGAAACTAGAACTCCTGTAATTTTTTTTTCCAGTAACAAACAACGCTTCTCATCAACTGATTTTTATCATGCTCTTTTCAAAACAACTTGTTGCTCTCACACAATAAAGTACTGAAAATAATACATTATCTTTGTAACCTCAGGAGTTTTGGCATATATAATTTATTTCACTGGAGTGAAATTCACTTTGGAGATTCAATCCATTGCCTTCATCTTTATTTCAGCACTCAAATTGCTTGCAACCCCCCACCTCTATATTCAGCTGGAACAGCTCCCTGCAAACCAGCAGGACCTTGATGAGCCAAAGTCAACACAGAACTTGCATTCAGCAGTGCTACATGCCTGCAACTCCTAATTGGCCACGGCACAGTCTGACAATGATCACACAGATCCTACTATAGCCAGGTAACAGCTGCATCTACCCTGCCATTAACGCTGCTTCCTGGCTGGTTCAGTCCACCAACTCGCTGTCTGCATGCTCTCTCTGAGCATGCTTCAGAGAACGTTCCAGCCCAGAAGAACCCTTCCAAACAACAGCATGGACAAGACTGCCTTAAGTTTTGATTTTCCACTCCAGACAGCCCTGCAATTCTCCCATGCGAGGCACTGCATCCTCAGTTGCAGCCTGCCCCTGCCTCCATGGGACACCCTGCAGCACCCCACGGATTTACAGTATTAGGCTGCACCATCATAATGTTGATGGGCTGCAACACAGACCTCACCATTCTGGGTACTCTGAACTAAAGGACACCAGCTACGTATTAGGGCTGCAGAAACACCACAGCACCCAGACAACACTCAGATCACAGCCAGTCTGCTTTTTCTAAAGCATTAAAATGCAGATGCAGACCAGCCCTTGCCAACCAGTCTACCTTGATGACAGGAATTTGTCCCTGACTTGTTATTACCAGTAAAGAACATCTGTAGCCTCAAGGGTGTTGTTTAAAAGTTAGGCATGATCTGAACCCCAGGGATGACTTGTGTAAGACCTCACATAAAGCAGAAAACCACACCTCTGCTGACAGTGCAGGAAATCTTTTGCAGAATGCTAATACTCATTAAAAGAAGGGGAAAAACCTAATATGAAAGGAAAAATCAAGGAGGAGGGTAAAAAAATGTTTTTTAAAAAAGTCTGCAGATCAGAGGAAATATGTTTTAAAATTTATTAGATATATTTGGGGTCATGTAATCTGCTTAGCCACTAGCATATTGTGGAAATGTAAAGCATACTTTTTACTTTTCTGCACTTGACATTATGTTACTGCATATTTATTAATTTAAAAATTTGCAAAAGAACTACAATTTACATAGTATTGTCGCTTTTCTAGTAACAGTATTGAGAGACTTCAGGGAAGTTAAATTTAGAAAAAGAAATACACAGGTTGCAATAAGTAACTATGCAAAAAGTTCAAATGTAAAAAAATCCATTTTTATTTTATAATCTGATTGGCTAAATGGTTTTATATAAAATGTATTCAAAAATATTCCTTAAAATGTCAAGATATTTTTAATGTAGCCTTAAGAAGCCATAGTGAGACAATATGCAGCTTTCTCCTAAAATTAATAATATATCTATATACACATAAAATATAATTCAGTTTCTGTTTACTTTATAATACTGCAGAAAGTTCTTTCATACAAAATATTTGCTTTGTGACATATAAAATTCATTTAGTATTTTTAAGCACAGTTTTATGCAATTCAGTACTTCAGAGCTCCATTGTTCACCCTCATGTCCATTCTTTCAGAACTAAGGAGTAATGAGGAGCTCTCAGAAAAGGAGAAACTACTGCGATTGGTTGATGAGGGCAGTGATCCATCTTGCTGTCATATCTTTCTTATTTCTGGGTGTGTTCAACCCCAGATGATTCTGACAAAGTAGCAATGGAAAAAAATATTCTGGAAATACAACAAAAGCAACTTTTTGGGTTTTCATTTCTGATACACACATCCTCATGAAGACATCTCCCAGGGAAAGTATTCCAGTCTAGATTATCCATAAGAACAATGACCAAATTTTTACACATATTATACTAATCAAAACAGAATACAGACTTCATCTGATCTTTAGCACGTTGCAGTCATGCCCTCCCTTCACGTATACAAATTATAACTCCATTGATTTCAATCCCTAGACTGTTAACTGAAGTCAAATGTTTCAGTATGTTACATGGACTAGGTTTATTCTGTTCAGAGTTATAGCCTGCATTTCCTCATGCTACTTCATTCCAAATAAATCAAACTAACTAACACTATGACAGATAAATCTCAACTATGTAAGTGATTGAGAAGTACCAGAATAGAAAAGGGAACTTGGCCGTTACCTTGTGCATGTAGCTATACAGCTGTCTTGGTCCTCTTCCTTTTTTGCTGGGTTACTTTTTCCTTTCTTTCTGTTAGTGAGAGGTAAGAATTTGTACCCTGCTCTCCTTCATGTTGCAAACTTGACGAAACTCTGCTGTTAAGCCCTGCTGTTGCTGGCCTGTGTGCAGAGGCACGTACAAAAGGAGCCGTTTCCAGCAGCCCGTCGCTTTGTCCTCGGCCCTCCCAAGCTTCTGTGTGATCAGCACAGGCTTTGTGGCCATACAATAGGGGTTAAACATTTCCCTGTATTTATATAAAAGCAGAGCTAAATCTGCTTAGCTGCATGAACCTTTTAATAAAATGATGCACATGCTACTAGGGCATTTTTCCATTTGTTTCTGTGTTTAAAAGTAATGTGATTCTATTAACAAAACAAAAAAATATATATGGTTTCTTTTCATTATATGCAGTGTATAAAGTATGCAGCTGGTAAAAAACAACATTAAGATTTGTATCCAGATCTTACCTTATCCACAATTTCCCTCTAAGCAACTACCTGTAACTTGCCTCTTAACTTAGAGCTATAGTTCAATTTTTTCTTTACATTCATTCTACTTGATGACTTGCCAGTGGGACAATCCTCTGGTGTCCATCAACGGTGTCTGAGAGGCAGACCACTGCAAAAACTACAATATGTACTCAGTAGTGAAACTCCAGTGTAAAGAAGAAAATTTAAATGTACTGAGATACAAAAGAAAATATTTTAAAGAAAATATTTTGCCTACAGTACTATAGACATGGATTTCACACACCATGTTAACCTCTGGACCACCTTTGCTTTCCAAGGAACTACCTTAAACAGTACAGAACACTGCCATTTTTCACAACTTCTGAAGAAAGAAACCCTATTTAAAAACTGTTGTTTCTGTTCTGCCATAAGTCCATATTTTTCTTTTTTTTAGAATTTTTTTTTTTTATTACTAGTATTTTCGAATCCAGTTAAAACATTTCTACCTTTAAGGGCTTTTCATCTTTTTATACATAACACTAAGAATTCCATCAGACTTTATTAGCACCAGCATTAGTTCATAACAATAATCTCATCTGGTCCTCTGAAAATAGCTCTGTTTTCAAGTCTTATTAGAACAATGCTTTTCCTCACAAAAGCATGAGCTGTACTTAAGAATCTACTTCAAAGCAGACTGCCAGTAAGGTTCAATAATGACTACATCCACCTGAACTCTTAAACTTGCTGAAATAGAACCAGAGTATCCTAACTGAGCTCCCAAGTCACATATATGCTGCAATTCCAGAGCTGCTAACGCTTAAGCTGAGAAGGACAAAAA